ACCCCCATTTCTATCTGCGTGCCCTTCCGACGGGAAGCTGTGCCTCACCACAGAATAGCCGACCAAGTGACCCTGGCCTGATACCTCTTAACCTTAAGCCAAAAATAAACATTTCTTCCTCTTTTTTTTTTTTTGGTTTTTTGAGACAGGGTTTCTCTGTGGCTTTGGAGCCTGTCCTGGAACTAGCTCTGTAGACCAGGCTGGTCTCGAACTCACAGAGATCCACCTGCCTCTGCCTCCCGAGTGCTGGATTAAAGGCGTGCGCCACCATCGCCGGGCTGACATTTCTTCCTCTTAATTGTTCCTTCCAGGTGTTTTATCACAGTGATAGAAATGTGATATCTTGGTGACCTAATTGCTTCCCGACGCCTGTGTCTCAGCTTCTCTTAGTCTGTTTTCTGTCCGGATGACACAGTACTAGACTAAAGAAGTTAAAGATCCCCTGGAGGAATGAATGCCCACAGACTGTTGCTGGCTCTGGAGATTGACAGTTATCTCATTGACACCATCCTAAGGTAGTACAGGTCACAACACTGAGACAGGGATGGTCTTATGAATGTATCCTCCAATCTCTCTCTCGTTCTAACGCCACAGATACAATCAGGAGGGCTGTGCCTGTGACCGTATTCAATCTTAATCAACCCCCATAAGCTCACCCCACCAATCCAAGGTTGGAGTTCATCTCTAGTCTGTGAATACCTCACTGCGGAGGTCAAATTTCAACAAGTGTCAGGGGGCAAACATTCAAAGGACAGCTGGGAGTGTCAGAGGCTGGGAGCTAGGACAGAGGGAGTCCCTCTGTGTCGGCTGGTCTTTAATGGATAGCTTGGTAAAGGTCATTTGTACATGCTGTTTTTATCTTTCAGTGAGGGTTTCAAGACAGAGGAAAATTAGTAGAGGCCACAGTACCTCTGGAGGGGCAGGGCATGGCTGTTGGGGGCTTACCCCGCCCCACCATCATGCTGAGTCTACTATGGCTGGCTTATTCCCTCAAGACGATGCTTTTAAAAGCTCCAGTAAACAGACTTTCATAACACGCACGTGGGAGTGTTTATAGGTATATGTGGGTGTCTGTGCACGTGACTGCGTGTGAGTAAGCCCAGTTTTTTTTTTTCTGTTTTCAGAATAAATATCTTGTGTAAAATGAGTCAGAAATACACAGATAATAGATTTTTAGTGAAAAATTTTGTAGATGACATTTTGGTCAGAGGTCTAAGAGCTGACTGTGGGATATTAGAGGATAGAAATAACACACTTGACAAGACAGAGGCATCAGGGGGTTCGCTTTATTTTGCTTCTTTCTCATGGCTGCAGTTTTATTGCTCTTAATAAAAACCCCGAGTCAGATAGTAAGGGGTGAAAGCTGAGAGATCAGAGAAGCAGAGTGCCTAGCCACTAGAGAGACTTTTTACCTCTACCAATGCTTAGATCAAAAGAGCGATCCTGTCCTCAGACTGCCTCCTCGGGCTGCATCTCTGGACCACAATGAGCTACTGTCTCCTCCTGTCTTAGATTCTTCTCTCCACCCAGCCATATCCCTTCCTTTCTCCACCTCCCTCCCTAATGCTGGCATTTAAGGGGTGGGACTTCCCTAATGCTGGCATTTAAGGGGTGGGACTTCTGTGTACTAGGATTAAAGGTGTGAGCCAACACCACCTGGCCTCTAGTGACTTAGCTCTGTACTCTGATCTTCAGGCAAGCTCTATTTGTTAAAACACAAACAAAATATCACCACACTTGTTATCTCTGTGACATCTACAAGAAAAAAAATGACATTTCAAGAAACACCTGAGCAGGCTCTTCCATTTCCTCCTGCCCTCTTTGTCATAGCCATAACTCAGAACACACCGATTCTGTAAACTATGTCCTGCAACAGTCAGCCTGAGATGGTGAGGTACCTCAACCAGAGCTGGCTGTTCTCAAGTTGCAGCCTGCAAAGGAGTTTTACAATAGGAGTCCCCATAGTATGACAAAGACTTTCAGAACGAACAACTGATGGGAAAAGAAGGAACCACACACATGTTTCCGATCAAGCCCAAGGCAGTTTCCCCAGGAGGCTCCCTGTGATTTGCCTGTTCCAACTACAAAGTGCCTTGCCTCTGTCCCAGGAATCTTCTAAAGGGTTGGGTGTAATCTGTTTAAGCCACATGGCAGGCTCCTGAGACTGGTGTTTTCCTGTTCTCAAACAGGAAGTGGGCCAGAGAGAAGTCAGTTGGTGTGCCTGGTTCACAGACTCATGGCTGGGAAAATCTGAACTAAGCTCAGGTTCTTCCTATCAGCCAGAATGCACCCTCAACTCCAAAGCCTGAGCCTCCTCACGCCGTCCAGGTGCCTTGGTGCTTTGCCCTTCTTGTCTGAAGAGGCCTAATCTTGCACGCCTTGACCCTTGCCCAGCCTTCCCATTGGAAATCATCCAGAGGTGTGCTCCGCTTTGAACACAATGGGCGTGCTCTCTTTGTTCTGGCTGGCTGCTGCCTCCCCCACCCCACCCCATTCCCAGGGCCTTTCCTGAGAACATCCAGGTATTAGGGCATGTGATATTTTAAAGGTTCGCTTTTGGAAACCTGGCACCTTCAATTGCCGCAGGCTCAGATCTATATTCACTGTAGCCATTTGTAAATCAGATCCGAGCTGGTTCTGCATGTCCAGTCTCACTCTTTGGACTATCCTGACCCAAAGGATTCCACTGGATGATGAAGCATCCGAGCTAATATGTCTGGGCATCAAAAACATCGCTTTGCCATTGGACCTTTCCTTTCCTTTCCTTTCCTTTCCTTTCCTTTCCTTTCCTTTCCTTATCCCCAGCCTAGGTCCAGAGCAAACAAACAAACCAACCCCATGGGCTATAGCTGCACCTGGAAAGGTCGCAATAAGCCACCAAAATCGGGGCAGTTCATTACTGCAAATTATAATCTAGCAAAAGCTGCCAAGGGAATCCAAATAGTTATAAAAACTGGAAGGTTCCCAATAGGTCATGCCATGAAAGCATCTTGATATCCGGGGTCTAAACAGACTTAAGGACATCGACTCACAGATATTGGCCACCACTGCCTGCCACCCACTTCTTCCAAGGACCTGCTGCTATACAGGCGAGCTCCATCCCTCAAACCTCATCATCTGTCCCCTCACACTGTGTTATGGGAGCCAGTCATCCCTGGAATGTCTCTACCTCCCTGATGCTTGGCTTCCTGCTAAGCTAGTCAGCCCCTCTCTCTATCCTTGTCTCCAGTGGCCGGGCTGCATGGGGCTGTTTAGGATCCTGCTAGACAGGTTGCACCCAACATCTTCAAATTTAGGAGGTTGAGAAGTTATACAACTTGGAGGTTCGTTTTCAAAACAGGAATGAACTGGGGCCTTACATTTAATCCAGCAAAGCCAGGCAGATCTCTGTGAGTCTGAGACCAGTCTGGTCTACATAGTCAATTCCAGGTCAGCCAGAGCTACGGACTGAGACCCTCTGTGAAAAAACAGCACACCCACTCAGGAATACAAAATTATAATCACAACTTAAAGTAGAGGATCTTGAAGGATCCATGCAAGTGAGAGCGGGAAGCAGGGGCCCATGCTCTGATCAGCTCACTTGCTGAGGGAAGTGAGGAATCCTAGGTGCTTTGTAGTCCTCACGGGGTGACTGACAGACCTGTGCTGAGGAGAATCAAGGAAGTGTCTGGGTGGCTCCTTCCAAATGATGGCAAATGTTACGAAATGAAACCCCTCATTCACTGAGTTCTGGAAAATGGCTTACTGCAAGAGCTGTCCCTTCCTCACGTGACCTAAATAAAAGTCAGGCCGAGGTCAGAAGTTGTGCCTGTGAATTCCTGCTCCTCACCAAGACCGTCACCGCCAAAGGAACAAAGCACGCAGTACGGAAGCCATGGCCACGCCCTCCTCTCCCCGGGGCGGAGGGGGCTCTGGCTCACCCACTCTAAGAAGAGGTTGGTCATTGGCAACAGCTGTAAAGCTACACTCCAATCTTTTATGCTGAGCCAGGAGCCTCAAATAGACTATTCATTACCTCGCCCCTCCCATGATGTTACCAGTCCACGGCTAATTTCTGCAACAACTCTCCCTAAGAACACCTGGCCTTAGGAAGTCCACCTTTGGCTTTTGTTGGCAGGAGCCAAAGCAGGCTTCTCTGAGATGTTTAAACAGATAGGGCTGTGGTTGAAGTAGGGTTTGAGGTATTGGGGTTTGCTTTCTTTTTAATGATCATTTTCATCCATGAGAGAGAAAACAGACCGTGGGCAAGTCTGCACTATCTAGATTTGGATGTCCAACCTTTTGACAATGTGACACAATGTTTTATCTACAACGCTTATCCGGGGGAATCATGAAATGACTTTTTAAAAATTACAAAGAAAGAAAAAAAAAGCCCTCATGCTTTAAGTCAGCTTATGACTTTGCGTTGAGCCACATCATACATCCTTGGGTGTGAACCGGACACTCCTGGCAAAGTGAAGAATTAAACAAGTCAGAGAGGTGGAATAGAAGGGTTAGCCTTCTCCATCCAGTCTGTAGCTGGGCGGCACCGAACTCCCAGTAGCAATGGGGGGCAAAATGGCCTGGACCTCGCTTCAGTCCGGCGAGAATAGAGTGGTGAGGAAGGCGATGGAGGGGTGGGCTGCATGAGGAGGGGGCGTGGCTTTGGGGTGGACGACAGGGCGAAGGGTACGAGAAGCACTAGGTTCGCTGCAGCGTGAAGGGCGTGAGGTCGCTTATGTGGGCAGGGGCGTGGGGCGTGTCCCTTAAAATAAGGTGACTGCAGCTTATGAGCGAGTTGGGCAGGTGGGCCAGGGACTGAGGGGTCCGGAGGTGGAGCGCGGGGACTTCCTGGGCCAGCTCGTGGGGGGCGTGTCCGTCTGGTGGGCCTGGACCGGATGGTGTCCGGAACTGAAGCCAGGGGACTTTCTGGGCGGGGCCATCGGGGGCGTGGCCCGGGGCTGGGGGCGTGCCCGCCCAGAATTCTGGAGAGTGGCCTGCGGCTCGGGGCTTGTGAGCCCGGGCTCGGGGGGCGTGCCCCGAGCTAGGGGGCGTGGCCGTGGGGGCTACCCGGTGGTGCTCAGCTGACTGGCGGAAGCCTTCGGTGAAGCGTCGGCAGCGGGCGGTCGGGCTGCCTAGCTGGCGCGCGCGAAGGCTGCTGGGAGGCTGTGGAGCCCGGGGCAGCGCGATGGCATCGGCGGGGTCTCGCGGAGCCCTCCCTGGCTGGGTCTCCGTGCTGGCTTGGGGCCTGGTGCTGTGGTGCCTGTGTGGGGCGGGCCCGCTGTGGAGGTGAGAGCCAGCTGGCAGGGCTGGAGGCTGGTTTCTGGGCGAAGGACGGCCTTCTTCCTCTTTTTAAGTTTTTCTTCTGGGGGCTCCCCCCCGCCCCCCCGCGCGCTCGCACGCGCCCCTTAGCTCTCTCTGGGACGCACGGGCTAGCTCTAATCATCTCTGCTTCCATTCTGCCAGGTCAATCCCCGAACACATTCTGACTTTTCCCTTCTTCTGCGTAACAGTCGATTAGTAAAAGCTTTTGGTGTTTTTGCACCACTGGAGCGGAAAAGGTAGGGCTTCGTTGCTCTCAAGAAGTCCTGTGTTCCCAAAGAGTAACTAAAAGCCAATTACATTTGTTTGCTTTCATATTTATTTAAGGTAGGGACCATTCTTCGGTCGTGGCGTGGTGTGCGGTGTGTGTGTGTGTGTGTGTGTTCGCGCGCGCGCGCGCGTGTGCAAAAGTTAGTCCCTATCTAAGAGTGTGATCTTGGAGCCCTACTGCTAGGAGACCTGCTCCTCACAGCACAGGTGGTACCTGTGAGCAGCTAAGATATAGAAAGGACTTAGAGCAGTGAAGGTTAGCTGAGGACTTCAGGCTGCAGAGCACAGTTCTATAACCAGCCTAATGTAGCTGATATAAGAGTTACGCTTGGAATTTCAGCCCCAAGGCCAGGTGAGAGTTCCTTGTGTTGGGTGGGTCTCCTTTTCTCTGACTTTCTCCTTGAGTATTGGAGTAGGTGAAGCCTTGGCTCTCTTATTAAACAGACGTACCTTCTTTTATCTGAAAAACACATAGAGATAGTTTGGTTGAGTTTTATACCTTCCCTGCTCAGTGTGATCCTTTGCAAATAAATGGAGATGGTCAGAGCTTTAACTTAGTGCGTTTCATCTCTTCTGCAGAGAAGGCTTTCATCATCTGTTTAGGCTTTTATGGCGGCTGTCAGGATCCCAGCAGAACTACCAAAGTTCTGTCCAAGGGCATACTGCCATCGACCTGATGCTTCCTTCTTGGTCCCATATCTAAAAACTCCCCTGCTGTTGCCTAAACTCTGCCTCCAACATGTGACCATTAGGGATAACCACCCTACAGCTCCACAGTCCCACAGTTCCTCTGTGAAGTCTCTGGATTGGGAGAGCCCTTCTCTGGATTGGGAGAGCCTCAGTTCACAGGCTTGCGATAAAAGCAGTTTGGTGAGCATACTGTGGTCCAGGGAACATGTGACAAGACAGAGCACATCACATACCGTACCCTAGATGACGTGTACCAAGTCTGCTTGCCCAGGTCAGGCTGTGGCTAGAGCCCAGGCTAGGCTGCAGGTGACATTCATATCCATAGTGGTCTCTGAAGTAGCATCCTGTCACCACGAGTGTAAGGGCAGCTAAATGCCAAATAGGGTATTGATAGGACTTCAGTGTGGCTTCAGGTCGTGTTTGTTTTGGCACGTGAATGGAGGGGAACAAGATAAATCTTCAGAGCCTAGGGAGCTCACAGAGACAGCGAAGAAATTAGGAGTCTGTATACTGAGCCCCCTGAAAAAGGCAACTATTGCTCAGTTACTTTCCATCAGCAGGCCTTCCTGGCTCTACCCCACTCACCTGGCCCCTCCACTGTATTGATATTCTCCATTAGTCACAGATATGTGCCCTGGTATACTTGTTACTCTTAGAGCATTCTTTGCCTTCCTTTGTGGCCTGTACTTCAGGAGGTAGGTGTAATGGTCTGTCCTGTCTCTTTAAGAGACAAGCCACGCCCCCTCCAGTCTGCCGAGGCAGGCAGGTGTCCTTCCTGCTTGCAGCCTGAGTCTCTTCTGTCTCCCTGTCAAAGAGGCAGCTTCTGCCTCTGCCTACTTCTCCCATTCCCCCTTCTGTCTCCCTCCCTCCCCCTCTCTGCTCCTCTCCCCTTCTTACTTTCCTCTCCATAACCCACTCAATAAATATACAACCTCACAGTGCATGGCATGCCTATCCATGTCTCTGTCTCTCGCCCGCTGCCACGTATCTCCCTGACCAGGACCATTGCCTTCGGAGACATGTGGTGTGTGTGGTCTTGTGGCGTGCCCATCTGTCTGTCTCTCCTCGTGGTCTTCTGCACTGTCCCTGACTGAGAGTAGCTGCTCTTGGGACCCTCTGCCCACTGCCTGCCCCCACGTGGCCCCACCGCCAGGGATCCTGCAGCATTTTAAATTAATCCATCACAGTAGGGAACATTGTTCCTGGTCATGTGTCCAGTCCCGTAGACTCTCCATGTTGAAGGAGTGGTTTGACTGGATAGGTGAGCCTTTGTCACTTGGACACATCCTTGAAAAATACGTTTGTCTTTTAACAGTGGCAGCCACGAGTGGAAGAAACTAATTTTGACCCAGCACTGGCCCCCAACAGTTTGCAAGGTGAGCTCTGTTTTGGCCGGCCCTCTTGATCCAGTAGGCCTGTATGAGTTGTTTTGTATGGGCAGGTGCCCACCTTGTATGCCAGGTGTGTTAAATCTGCCCTCAAGAGTGACTGGACCGCCTAACATGTGACTTGTGTGTGTAGGATTCGGAGGGTGGCAGCAACAGAATCTCGAGTGGTGCAGCTTAGAACACTGGGAGTGCATCCGTGCTGGGGTTCCTGCCCACCACTAGAGGTGACAGTCCTGGGTGTTCTAGACCTCTGCATGCACTACTCCAGTGTCTGTCTTCTTCATGGTATCTTAGTTAGTTAGTTATCTTTTTGCCACGATAAGAAACCAAGACCGAGGCTGATACACAACTAATAAAAACCCAGAAACAGAAATGCGGTTCAACCTAAAGGTCAGAAAAGCAAAACACCAGTCACTGGCTCTTACTTCAACCTCAGTCTGAAATGATGATCCTACCTCCAGGAATCTCGGAATGAGACTGTGAGTGAGAGCTGTCTCCTCCCATTTTATAATCCTCTCATTCTGGGATTCAAGACCTGGTTTCTGTGGCAAGCTAGTGTGGCTACCGGGATTGAAGGTGTGTGTCATTGCTGCCTGGTCTGTAAGGCTGACCAGTGCGGCTGCTTTACTTTCCCAATCCCCCAGACAAGCTTTATTTATTAAAATACAATTGAAATGCCACTACACAAGGAAACTTGGAGAAGCAAGAGGTTTCTTTCTCTTTTTCTTTTTTTGTTGTTGTTTGTTTTTTTTTTTAGGAGCTTACATTTTCCGAGAGTTAGGGTCTGTGACCATCCTGACAGGGAGCATGGTGGCCAGGTGGCCAGCAAGCATGGTTCAGGAGCAGGAGCTGAGAGCTCACATCTTGAGATATAAACATGATGCCGAGAGAGATACTGGGAATGGCATGGGCTTTTGAACCGTCAAAGCCCACCTCCGGGGACAAAGCTCCTCCCATAGGGCCACACCACACCTAATCCTTCCCACAGAGTTCTATGAGTTGGGGAACCAAGCCTTCAAATATGGGAGCCAATCTCATTCAAAGATCTACACACCGCATCTCTGTCTCTCAGACACTAACTAGATTTAGGGCCCAGCCTGACCTAATAGAGCCTCATCTTACTTTGATTATATCTTTAAAAACTCTATTTCCAAAGGAGCTGATGTTCACAGTACCCGGCTTGGGGCAGAGATGTATCTTTGGGGCCCACGACTCTGCCTTCAATAGGCCTATACTTCCCTCTGTGTACTGAGCTTTCCCCAGGTGCCTGCAATGAGCAGAGTATGCTTGAAGAAGGCCATTGCCCGCTGCCAGGACGGTTCTGCTTGGCAGCCACGATACCCTTCCCCCTTAAGGTTAGCACCTCTGTCCACGTCCGTGTTTTCTTTCATGCCTTGTGTCCTTTATGCTGTCAGTGCTGGAACTCTTCTCTCATGGTGTTGCCAGCTGGGGCCTTTCGCTGGCTCATCCTCACGGTGGTTTATAGAGCTGGCCCTGGAGTTCGTGAAATCTGGACGGTTGTGTCATGTTGTTGATAGTTTTTCTGAAAACCTGTTTGAGTTTAAAAATTGGGACCTCTTACTTCTGAAGCAAATACAACGGTCTGATCTCCTGCCAGGTTGAGAGCCTTCCTGCCTTTCTGTCTCCTTGGGCATGGAGTAGTGGGGATTTTCTCTTTCACTTCCTCAGTCTTAATTTCCTGTTGACAGATGAAGTTCATTTTTCAGTTATGGTTGCCAAGTCATACCTTTGACCTGGTTCCCTGGTTCCAGTGTGGGGGTGGAGAGAGAGGATGTACAGGGAGCGCGGCACATGAGGGTTTTAGGTGGCGAAGACCTCACTGGCTCTTCCCAGGGCAGGGAGGGCTAGAGACCTGGGCTGCTATTGCAGGGCCCACGGAAAGGAAAGCTTGCTTCAGGCCAGCTCTAGAGGAGTTGCCCTCCAGCAGCAGGCACCAGGCGGGTCTGGCCTGCCTGAGGAATTATGGGTGTGCTGTTGCTTCGCTGTGCCCTTCTTTAGCTACAAGTGCTGTGTCTGTGTCCTCCCCCCACCTCCCCACCCCTGTGAGGTAGACAGACATGAATTATGCTGGGACACACCGGTCATGATCTCAAGGGGCACCACGAGACCTCAGCGTTTGCCGACTGAAGAAGAAAGCCACCTCTTGTTTTAGTTTCAGTCTTAGGTCAGGTAGGGGCCTGGCCGTGGAGCTCTGCAGGGGCCTTCAGCCCTGATTCTGCACCTCAGTCACAGTGTGCCCGTAGGAAATGAACTTTCCTTAAGGAAGGACTCGGGGTGTTGGCTGAGGTGTACGTGTGGGCTGTAGCCCCTGTCTCTAGTTGTTCAGTCATTCGGTAGCAGGCGGCTCTCACTAGTGACCAGTCGCCTGAACTGGACTCTTCAGACCGCTCACAGAAAGAGGCTGCATGGTGGGGAGACAACAGGACAGGAGGGACATGATGTCTGTCTATAGTAGCAGGATCCAGGTGTTATATTTGCCTGGTTCCTGGTGTGTACGTGTGTGTCCTGAGTTCTGTTCCTTTTCATCCAGTCTGATAGCCCAAGTCTGTTTATTTCTATTATCATTTATTGTGGAAAAATTTCATCCTAACTAAACCCCTTGGAGGGCCATAATTTTATCTTACTAATATTTTTCATCTCTGATTTTATCTTTGTGATTGAAGTCAAGAAAATGCTCCTGTTTTCACCCCGGTACCTACCACTTCACTGTGTTAGGGTCTGGTACCAGAGCAGGCTTGCGAGTCACAGAGCGCCAGGGTTTTCTTACATGTTCGCTCCTGCTATATAGATTGTTCGTAGGTAAATGTGCCTGTCCATACCTGTGAGTGCATGGAAAGACCGAGACTAGCAGCCCGATTCCCTGCAGCTCCGTTGTCTGAGGACTGACCTCGACTGCCCAGTCCTGGCATTTCCCATGAGTGCGGTGCTAGAGTAAACTTTCACAATGCTAACTCCGGGGTTACTGTCTGTTAGTGGTGTGCCTGTGTCTAGTTGATGTACATTCAAAGAAAACGGAGTTGATAAATATTTACACAACCAGTCACCTTCCTTATCTGTTTGTTTTTTCCCCAGGAAGTGGATGGCTGCAGAGATACTCTGGATTATTGGACAATACATGGACTATGGCAAGCATCTAATGTAGTAAAACCCAATGAGATAGCTGGAGTCTAGTCACCATAGACATGTTACTCTCGTTAGAAGTTTATTCTGTTGACCAGATTCTTACACACATACACACACACACACACACACACACACACACGCACTTTTATGTATGTATGAACGTTTTACCTGCATGTATGTCTGTGTACCATGTGTGTACCCAGTACCAGCAAAGGCCAGGAATGGGCATTGTCCCTGGGATTGGACTGAGCATGCAGTTATGAACCGCCATGTGGGTGCTGGGCATTGAACCATGTTCTCTGGGAGAGAGACCAGCGCTCTTAAGTCCCTAACATCTCTCCAGCCCCCTTATCAAAGATAAACAAGGATCCTGGGTCCTTTCTTACTTTGTTTTTGGGGCCTATTATAAATAAACATTTAAAGCTAAAGTGTTAGCTCAGCAGATCAATAGACAAATGTGTTTTACACACTTCGCAGGCTGTCACCCCTCCCACCATGTTTGTTTGCATTCCCTTTAGTTAGTTCTTTCTCTGTGCACACCCTTGTGGTATTGCAGTGTGCATATCAGTTTGCCACCTTTAGAGTGGACATGGCCCGTACACCATAGATTCCTCTGCTAGGAAGAACTGAGGCTGCACTCAGCCCAGAGCCGTTTCCGATGTTTCCTCTACTGACAGTCCCGCTGGACGTGTCTGAGCCTGTTTGTCTGAAGCTGGATGTGCCTGAATATATTTGCTCCTTTTCCAGAACAAAGTCAAGCTGACCGTTTGCTCAGAACCATTCTTTTTAAATTTTTTTTATTATTTTATAAATAATACCAATCAAAATTTCCACTTCCTCCCCTCTTCCCACTTCCCACCTGCTCCCCCCCACATCCTCCTTCTCTCCCCCTCCAGTCCTAAGAGAGGACAAGGTACCCTGCCCTGTGGGAAGTCCAAGGCCCTCCCCCTACATCCAGGCTTAGGAAGGTCTGCATCCAAACAGACTAGGATCCCAAAAAGCCAGCACATGCAGTAGAGACAAATCCCAGTGCCATTATCATTGGCTTCTCAGTCTCCCCAATTGTCAGCCACATTCAGAGGGTCCAGTTTGATCCCATGCTCGTTCAGTCCCAGTCCAGCTGGCTTTGGTGAGCTCCCATTAGCTCAGGCACACTTTCTCAGTGGGTGGACCAACCCCTCGTGGTCCTGACTTCCTTGCTCATATTTGTTGATGGGCTTTGGGGGAGTACGGGGTTCCTGACTAGAATTTCTCTCTCACATGTAGATTTTTAAGAGAAGTGCTTTCTAGTATTGTGACTAAGGCTTCCTCACCAAGACTAATATTTCTTCTTTTTCTTAAACATTTGGATTTCAAGGCCTGATAGAGCAGAAGATTGTAACCAATCCTGGCACTTTAACTTAGATGAGATTAAGGTATTGATCTTTTTATTATACTTCTATTGCAAATAGAAAGTTGAACTAAATGAATTCATCCTTCATAAGTGTACCTTCAAAGTCATGTTTCAGATTGCAGGTTCAGGAGTGGATTCACCAGGACTGAGCCCCCTGGGTCTCTTTAGTAATGATTGCTATATACAACAACCCCATACATGCAAAAAGAAAAAAAGTCCACCTTCCACCTCCTGGTCTAGGTCTGAATGGATGTTAGAAGCAGCTCAGGGGGCAGCAGTGCCTGTCCTGGTAGCACGGACCCTTCTGCTTACATGCCAGAGTCTGGGGCTTCTGGGCCAGTGAGGGAAGGTGGGCACTTGGTTTGTGTGGTAAGGGTGAGACATTTCCAGACCGCTGTGGCTTAGAGAGTAGGCACCTGATACCCAGGGTGCATGGTTTCTAAGTAGGAACTCTGAGGAGGAGGACATGACAGGCCTCTTCAGCATCACAATTCCCGTTACAGAATCAATCACAGGACAGAAGTGCTCTTGAGATTTGGGCGGCATAGCAAATCTGCTCCCGCGTGTTCACCTTTCCTGAAGGGGCACCAACAACTCCTGTCAGGGTACCTGGGGTGGCATAGGGGACATGGCAGGCCCGATAGGTGGGTTTCTTTGTGTAACAGTCTTGGCTGTCCTGGAACTTGCTTTGTAGACCAGGCTGGCTTCGAACTCAAAGAGATCCGTCTGCCTCTGCCTCCTGAGTACTAAAGTAACTGTGCTGTACTGGGTGTCTGACTGAATATGCATACACTCTAGCTATCTTCTGAATCATCACTGAGTAGTTGCTGTCTGTCAGTCCGTCCTACACTTTGGGCTGAGCAGTGGAAATTTGCCAGGGGCACATGAAAACTGCACAGACAACCTCAAGCTTCCCAGGTTCCCCAGGAATCCAGATGCCAAGTCTGTCCGTGTCTGACCAGGTCCTCCAGGAAACATGTTGAGGTAAAACTAGGTAGTGAGGCTGTCAATAGTAGCTGACTGTAGCTTATTAAAAGTACATTTTTTGGGGTCTGGAGGGATGGCTCAGTGGTTAAGAGCACTGGCTGCTCTTCCAGAGGACCCAGGTTCAATTCTGAGAACCCATATGGCAGCTCACAGCTGTCTGTAACTCCAGTTCCAGGACTTCCTGACACTCTCTCACAAACACACATTCAGCAAGACACCAATGCATATAACATAAAAATAAATTACATATTTTTTAAAAAGCTATTTTTTCCTTAAAATTATTTAGTTTCTATAGAGATTGTAAAAAGATGCCAATGTCCTCTATATTGCAAGTGAAGAACAACATCAAGGTACTAGGCAAAATTTTCGACTAGCAACAGTTGAACCTTGGGTAAGCCTCTTTGAATATGATACTATTGCTACATAAAGCTTGAACCTAGCATTTAAAAGATGAAGGAAAAGGGACCAGTGAAAATGATGCCAGGAGAAGGGAGGTTTAAGTCGTGTTAGTGGGTTAGCACTTCCTGGAAGGGAAGTCCAGAATACCAGGGTCGAGCAGCCTTTGGTGCTGGGCCAGTGGGTCTGCAGTAGCCATCCTTACTGCTTCTCTTCCCGAAATCCTGGTGTGCTTGTGTAGCGTTATGGTCAGACGTAGTTGTCTCCAACAGGAAAGTGAGCTTGTTTGACTGTAAGTGACATCACCCTAAGCTATCCCCAGAGGTCTCACTGGGGCTGAAACTAGGCTGAGGGAAGTGGCCCATGAGGAGGCACAAGGAGGTGACAGCAGACAGCACTGGAGGAGGAGGTGACAGCCAGCAGACAGCACTGGAGGAGGAGGTGACAGCCAGCAGACAGCACTGGAGGAGGAGGTGACAGCCAGCAGACAGCACTGGAGGAGGAGGTGACAGCAGACAGCACTGGAGGAGGAGGTGACAGCAGACAGCACTGGAGGAGGAGGTGACAGCAGGCAGCACTGGAGGAGGAGGTGACAGCAGACAGCACTGGAGGAGGAGGTGACAGCCAGCAGACAGCACTGGAGGAGGAGGTGACAGCCAGCAGACAGCACTGGAGGAGGAGGTGACAGCAGACAGCACTGGAGGAGGAGGTGACAGCAGACAGCACTGGAGGAGGAGGTGACAGCCAGCAGACAGCACTGGAGGAGGAGGTGACAGCCAGCAGACAGCACTGGAGGAGGAGGTGACAGCAGGCAGCACTGGAGGAGGAGGTGACAGCAGACAGCACTGGAGGAGGAGGTGACAGCAGACAGCACTGGAGGAGGAGGTGACAGCCAGCAGACAGCACTGGAGGAGGAGGTGACAGCAGACAGCACTGGAGGAGGAGGTGACAGACAGCAGACAGCACTGGAGGAGGAGGTGACAGACAGCAGACAGCACTGGAGGAGGAGGTGACAGCAGACAGCACTGGAGGAGGAGGTGACAGACAGCAGACAGCACTGGAGGAGGAGGTGACAGCAGGCAGCACTGGAGGAGGAGGTGACAGCCAGCAGACAGCACTGGAGGAGGAGGTGACAGCAGACAGCACTGGAGGAGGAGGTGACAGCAGGCAGCACTGGAGGAGGAGGTGACAGACAGCAGTGGAGGAGGAGGTGACAGACAGCAGTGGAGGAGGAGGTGACAGACAGCAGTGGAGGAGGAGGTGACAGACAGCAGTGGAGGAGGAGGTGACAGCAGACAGCAGTGGAGGAGGAGGTGACAGCAGGCAGCACTGGAGGAGGAGGTGACAGACAGCAGTGGAGGAGGAGGTGACAGCAGGCAGCACTGGAGGAGGAGGTGACAGACAGCAGTGGAGGAGGAGGTGACAGCAGGCAGCACTGGAGGAGGAGGTGACAGACAGCAGTGGAGGAGGAGGTGACAGCAGACAGCAGTGGAGGAGGAGGTGACAGACAGCAGTGGAGGAGGAGGTGACAGCAGACAGCAGTGGAGGAGGAGGTGACAGCAGACAGCAGTGGAGGAGGAGGTGACAGACAGCAGTGGAGGAGGAGGTGACAGCAGACAGCACTGGAGGAGGAGGTGACAGCAGGCAGCACTGGAGGAGGAGGTGACAGCAGGCAGCACTGGAGGAGGAGGTGACAGCAGGCAGCACTGGAGGAGGAGGTGACAGCCAGCAGACAGCACTGGAGGAGGAGGTGACAGCAGGCAGCACTGGAGGAGGAGGTGACAGCAGGCAGCACTGGAGGAGGAGGTGACAGCAGGCAGCACTGGAGGAGGAGGTGACAGCCAGCAGACAGCACTGGAGGAGGAGGTGACAGCCAGCAGACAGCACTGGAGGAGGAGGTGACAGCAGACAGCACTGGAGGAGGAGGTGACAGACAGCAGACAGCACTGGAGGAGGAGGTGACAGCAGACAGCACTGGAGGAGGAGGTGACAGACAGCAGACAGCACTGGAGGAGGAGGTGACAGACAGCAGACAGCACTGGAGGAGGTGACAGCAGACAGCACTGGAGGAGGAGGTGACAGCAGGCAGCACTGGAGGAGGAGGTGACAGCCAGCAGACAGCACTGGAGGAGGTGACAGACAGCAGACAGCACTGGAGGAGGAGGTGACAGCAGGCAGCACTGGAGGAGGAGGTGACAGCCAGCAGACAGCACTGGAGGAGGAGGTGACAGCAGACAGCACTGGAGGAGGAGGTGACAGCAGGCAGCACTGGAGGAGGAGGTGACAGACAGCAGTGGAGGAGGAGGTGACAGACAGCAGTGGAGGAGGAGGTGACAGACAGCAGTGGAGGAGGAGGTGACAGCAGACAGCAGTGGAGGAGGAGGTGACCGCAGGCAGCACTGGAGGAGGAGGTGACAGACAGCAGTGGAGGAGGAGGTGACAGCAGGCAGCACTGGAGGAGGAGGTGACAGACAGCAGTGGAGGAGGAGGTGACAGCAGGCAGCACTGGAGGAGGAGGTGACAGACAGCAGTGGAGGAGGAGGTGACAGCAGACAGCACTGGAGGAGGAGGTGACAGCAGGCAGCACTGGAGGAGGAGGTGACAGCAGGCAGCACTGGAGGAGGAGGTGACAGCCAGCAGACAGCAGTGGAGGAGGAGGTGACAGCAGACAGCACTGGAGGAGGAGGTGACAGCCAGCAGACAGCACTGGAGGAGGAGGTGACAGCAGACAGCACTGGAGGAGGAGGTGACAGCAGGCAGCACTGGAGGAGGAGGTGACAGCAGACAGCACTGGAGGAGGAGGTGACAGCAGACAGCAGTGGAGGAGGAGGTGACAGCAGGCAGCACTGGAGGAGGAGGTGACAGCAGGCAGCACTGGAGGAGGAGGTGACAGCAGACAGCACTGGAGGAGGAGGTGACAGCAGACAGCACTGGAGGAGGAGGTGACAGCAGGCAGCACTGGAGGAGGAGGTGACAGCCAGCAGACAGCACTGGAGGAGGAGGTGACAGCAGACAGCAGTGGAAGGGAGGAGGTGACAGTGTTCACTTGTCACTCCTGATACCCAAGGCGACCTTGGATCTCTTTGTGTCTCAGGGTTTGCCCTTTCCAGGTTGTAGTCACAGTACAGCCCGCTGCTCTCACTTGCCACAGTCCAGTTATGGTCCTCATGTGTTTTTATGGCTTCAGAGGACCATTTCTTCAGTTTATCATTCTCTTTATTTTATTTGTTTTTTGATTTTTTTTCGAGACAGGGTTTCTCTATATCTTTGGAGCCTGTCCTGGAACTCACTCTGTAGACCAGGCTGACCTTGAACTCACAGAGATCCTTCAGCCTCTGCCTCCTGAGTGCTGGGATTAAAGATGTGTGCCACCGTCGCCTGGCCTTGTCATTCTCTTGTAAGAGTTTGTGTGTTTTCACTTGCGGCTACTTCAGCATGCTTTATGCAGAATAAACACAAACTCATTTTGCTCATTTAAATTGTTAGAGCTTGAATGCTTTCTGTTTATTAGTTTGTTAAGTTTGCTTAGAAGTTTTGAATTTGTTAGGTCCTAGGCAAACATTTTGTTTAAATTACATACAGGACCTTCTGCGAGACATGAAGATCTACTGGCCCGATGTAATCCACCCGTCCTCTAACCGCAGCCGGTTCTGGTAAGTCTGAATTCCCATTGGCCATATGCATTTGAACACAGATGTGAGGAATTTCTAAGGGTGTCCTGGATGTCAGCTGTGGGAGGCCCAGAGAACAGGTGACAGATCCTGTCACTAGAGGGCATCAAGAAATGATTCTGGTATGTAGCTTTGAGGGCCTCTGTCCAGTGGGTTAAAAATGAGGTCAGGTGGAATTTATGTAATGAACTTGTTTTCTGGTCTCTTGTTATTTCATCCATTACTTCATTTAAAAAGTCCTCTCTCCTAAAATTCAGCAATCAAATGCTTGCATATTTAAAAATCAATCCAAATCTCTCTGCCTCTCTCTTTCTCTCTCTGTCTCTGTCTGTCTGTCTGTCTCTCTCTCTCTCTTTCACACACACACACATACACACACACAGAGCATGCCTTAGAGATAGTGACCTAATGGTGACCTGGTCAGAGACAATGTGAGTCTCACAGGGACAGTCTTCTTCCAGGTTAGCAAGAGCTTGGAATTAACCCAGTTGTTTGAAAAGCATTGTTTTGTTTGTTTGTTTGTTTTTTAAAGAAGATAAAATTGATTCAACTGAAGGTAATTTTTTTCTACATCTTCCAATGTGAAAATTTATAATTCCTATTACAGCTAATAATATCTTTCCAGGCCTCTTAATTTAACCTAGAAATATTCCTCGTTTGATAAAATGCCTTAAAGCAGCGGAATGTAATCGGTGCCGGCTTCCTGCATCGCAGTGTTGAGCATGGCTTTTTCAGGGTTTGTGGACTGCAGTGTTTAGGCCGGAATCACTTTTAGATAAACAGGACGTTCAGTAAAAGCTTGGGTGGTGACTAGCTCACTAGATGAGTCCAGGTTTCTGGTGCTTTCCTGCTGAACTAGACTCCCAGCGTTGTTAGTTCTGAGAAAGCTGCCCACTAAACTGCTCAGGGAAGCCGTGAACTCACTTTGCAGCCCAGGTACGCCTTGAACTCACTGTCTTTTGTAGCCTGTATTCTAGAAAGTACTTCAACTGCCTCTGCCTCCTGAGTGCTGGGGTTAAAGGCTTCACCACCACCGCCTGGATGGAGTGTGTTGTGATTGTAGAGGTGCCCTGGAAGGGGTTTGAGATAGAAACATGAGAAGACTGAGTGGTCTCTTTGGAGATTGTTGCACGTTGCTGGGGCTGGGCCCAGGGTATCTGTGAAGGCAGTGACAGGCTCAGTGCATGCGACAGCTCTGCTCTAGAGCACGGGTCTGACCCTTCTTATGCTGCACCGCACAGGAAACACGAATGGGATAAGCACGGCACCTGCGCTGCTCAGGTGGATGCCCTCAACTCCGAGAAGAAGTACTTCGGGAAGAGCCTAGACCTGTACAAGCAGATCGACCTCAACAGGTGTGTGGACACATTACTCTGCCGTGGACCTGGGGCTGGGCCACTGGGAATGAGTACGACATTCCTGCCAACACCCTGAGTGTTACCGTCCTGAACGCGCTGTGGTGGGCTCATTCCTGGGGTTGAGCCCCCGACAGATCTTTGATCATTATGACCATAGAGAGCACAGACCCGGGCTGCCGTGTGGTGCTGAGTTGTCATTAGTGAATCATCCCTAGGAAGTGGAGCCTGACAGGCACCTACAACCTCTGAGAAAGTTGCCTTAAGATCATTCCCCTAGAGACGTCGGTCCTCAATAGATTTCTGTATCCGATTGTAGTGCTCCTCAAACAAGCCTGAGGTGGAGGGAAGGGTCCTTTAAGCCCTAGAAATGAGCCAAACCATGTAGATTTTTACTGCCTGCCTTGATCTCAGTTCTGGACTTGGGGTAGTGAATCTGTAAGAACAGCATGCTCTGTAGGACGGTGGATCAGCCTGATCCTTTCCATCCAGACGCTTCTGTCGGGCTGAGTGTACTGTGCTTTTCATTTGTTTGAGTGTAGTGTGTGTGTATGTGTGTGTGTGTGTGCGTGCATGTGTGTGTGCATGCGTGTGTGTGTGCATGTGCGTGCGTGCATGGAGGTCAGAGGACAGCTCTGGAGATGGTTTTCTTCTTTCACCTTTGCACAGCTGGGTTCTGGGGCTTGAACCCAGGTTGTTAGGCTTGTGTGGCAGGTGCTTTTCTACCTGCTGAGCCATCTTCCTGGCTCTTAAGTGTTTCTTATTGAGACTGAACGTGATAAGCCAGTGATTAGGAGAGAGTAAGGAGGGTATCAGCGTGGGAGATTAGCCTGCAGTGGGCTGAACGTAAATTGCCTCCAAAATTTGTAGACAGAAATCTTCCTCCTTAGGCGGGCGGTGCATGAGTGTGGAGCTCTCCTGAGTGGAATTAGTTCTCTTACTGCAGGCCCTGGAGAGCTAGAGAGCTTGTTAACACCCCCATGTAAGCGCACAGAAATACAGACTATGAGGAATGAGCCATCCCCAGACACCAGAACTTTGATCCTAAGATTCTCAGCCTCTAGCCATGTGAGAAATGAATGTCTAGAAAAATGAAGGCTTTTTACAGTGTCTGCACACTGCTTGTCCTCTGTACAGCTTGTTCTAGTCAGAGCTCCAGATGAGAATAATCCCAAGATCCTTTGCTTGTCAATCATATCTAAGGTTCATGAATTAAATCTGCTTAAAAGATGAATAAACCTCCACTGGCTCTCTGCACACAGGCTTTGTCTCCTTAGCACAGAGACACTGGCTGTGCACACACAGGCTTTGTCTCCTTAGCACAGGTGTTGGCTGTGCACACACAGGCTTTGTCTCCTTAGCACAGAGACGCTGGCTGTGCACACACAGGCTTTGTCTCCTTAGCACAGGTGTTGGCTGTGCACACACAGGCTTTGTCTCCTTAGCACAGGTGTTGGCTGTGCACACACAGGCTTTGTCTCCTTAGCACAGGTGTTGGCTGTGCACACACAGGCTTTGTCTCCTTCGCATAGACGCTGGCTGTGCACACACAGGCTTTGTCTCCTTAGCACAGAGACACTGGCTGTGCACACACAGGCTTTGTCTCCTTAGCACAGAGACACTGGCTGTGCACACACAGGCTTTGTCTCCTTAGCACAGGTGCAGTCGTAGTGATCTGCCACCATCTCACACACAGTTTTCTGTGTCGCTGCGCTCAAAACCAGCTGGGATTTGAATCAGTTAGTCTGGCAGTAGAAGAGGAGGGACAGGTGCCTTTGGAGAGATGGGATAACCAAAGAATACCCATGAAGGCCTGAACGCCTTCCAGCTGGCTGAGCATAGGGTCCTTTCTGACATAAGTTGTACAGTTTGATTATATGACCTCTTTAGATCTTATCCTCATGTTATAAAAAGAATGGTTGGGCAGTACTCAGATTTTGAAGTTCCTTTTGTCTTTTAAAAATTTGCATTATTAGGCTGGGTACGGTGGCCTATGCCTTTAATCCCAATACTTTGGAGGCAGAGGCAGGTGGATCTCTATAAGGTTGAGGCCAGATTGCTTCGCATAGCAAGTTCCAGGCCAAACAGGGCTACACAATGAAACCCTGTCTCAAAGCAGAAAAAATAAAACATCCAAATATCTGCATTTTTAAGTACATACACTAGGAGTTACATGCCAGATACTGTAACAGACACTCAGCATCGTGAGTTGTGTGTGTAGTTTGTTTAAGCTGTGGGGTTTTCTGAGAACACAGTATCTCTTGCAGTAAGGACAAACCCTTGGAAACCCTGACCCCCAAAGTGTAAGTTTTTCAGAAACCTACTGGGTACTTAGAAGCCATGTGAAGAACCCCTGCAAGATGGTCCATCTTGTGCTTCTGGAGCACAGGAAGGCAGCAGTTAAAAAGAGACTGCCCTTCCAGAAAGGCTGACAGACAGACAGACCCACAGGGAGTTTCTGTTGGTGAGAGCGGGCCCAGCCTGGTATCCACACTGTGGTATGAGTCGAGGCTAATCCATCTAGCTACATAGGAAGGAGAGTAGCTATTGTATGAGGTGCAAAGGCCTAAGCATCTAAGTAGCTCCTGTTTGCGGCCTTTGCCGCCTAGCTGTGTCTCCTGTTAGAGACACATCGGAGCCTTCACCCTAGAAACACTGCTGTCTAGCTACAGCCACTGGCTGTCAGCAAGTGATCCCAAAGGCCTGATAACTGGAAGGCACGCCCAGTGGGCAGTGCTTGCTTAAAATGACAAAAAAAAAAAAAAACCTGTAGAAGAATGATTACTCTCCCCAATTCCTCCATCAATAGAGAATACCTGTCCGTTTCATAAGATGTAACAAAGTATCATAAACTGTAAATCATGCTCACCTACTTCGTGGTGTAAAGGCGGCAGGCTGAGAAGCTCTGAGCTCCCGCCAGTGCAGATATGGGCTGGCACCCCGCTGTCTTCACTCAGAAGAGGACAAGAGACAACTTGGCCCATCTTTCTCTTTGCTGTGACCTGGGCCACCTGCATCAGGTGGAGCAGTGTGTGGCCACAGGTGCTAAGTGACATTTTCCAGTAATGTTATTAAAACACAGCCGTAAAAACAGCAGTAAAAATTCTGGTCAAAAATGGCAATAACAGGTTAAGCTCAGATTATCAAAGCACTAAAGTTGTGACTTATAATAAATATTGTTTTGAAGTTGGAATATTTTATACTTTGTTGGAACTGTGTTAATCATGTACTGACAGCCAGGACAGGCAGTGGCACACTTATGTGGATTTTGGGGGCATTTATGGGGTTTCAGGGACCTTTCCTGCTTGCCCCTTGCTGCCACAGACTGATGGCAAATAGAGAGGAAGATTTGCAGCCTCCAACCTACCCTTGGTGTCACAGTCCTGAGCCATCCGGGATCTTGTGGTGGACCACAGAGACTTCTCTGCAGTGGGTGGTCTAGGGACGTTGACATTGTGCCTCCAGTATTAAGTTTGTTGTGAGCAACTCTGATAGGATTCTAGGCTACATGCACTGAAATTCTTTGACGATCTGGCCGGCACAGTTCGAGGCAGGAAAAGCTATCCTGCAGAGCCTGTGTGGTCATAGCTTGCACAGGGTTTGCTGCTGCTGTTCCTGTTAATGGATTTATTGTGGAAGTTAGAAAGGACACTCTTCCTTTAACAGTGTCTTAATTTTCAATGTGAAATCAAAGTGTACTGTGCTGTCTTCATGCAGCTAATTTTTACATTTTCTTTTAGTGTGCTGCTAAAATTTGGGATCAAGCCATCTATCAATTACTACCAGGTAAGTCTTACCTGCAGCCTCTGTCTGGTATCTAATGTTTGTCACTGGGGAGTTTGGCGGGCTCCATTCACCTTGTGAGCTGTAGTTGGGTTTTAAAGTGACCCAGGATAGACGACTTGAAGTAGGTTTTCCTTGAACTGTTTCCGTTTGCATATGAGCATACACTAAGGCTCTTAGGCCCCTGACTTGGAGGTGCAGATCCATGGTTCTGCCAAGCAGTAGTCCTTGGCCTCAGCACAGTGGAACGTGCTTTTGAAAAAACGTCACAGTGTTTGAGGGAAAGAAACAGGCTTTCGGTTTTTCATGTAAGCTACGTGGCACAGGAAGTAATGCCGTGTCTTATTGACTAAGAAGGACATGTACAATGCAGATCTTTCAATTATGCCTTGTCTGTTTTTGTTTGCTAAAGAGAGCTGTCACTCAATAGCTTAAAATATACCTGGGCTACCAGGAGAACTCACAGACTTGCTTTAGACAGTTCTCTGAGGTGTTTTTTGTGCTTATTGTGGGGTGTGGCTTTAAAACAGCTCTAGAGAAGCCTCTGCGGTACAGGCATGGGCACGGCCATCACTTTGCCCTGTTGGTAGTAACCCAACAGCTTTGTCTGTAGGACCGTGTGCTCCTTTCCCCAGTCAGTGTGTATCTCTCCCTCTGTGGACAGTAGGGAACTGGAGCCTGGCCTTGAAAGGAGCTTTAGCTGCCAGTTAAGTTAGACCCTTCTGGAAAACACCAGGATGTGGGTTTGTAGGGCTTCCCCAAGCTCACCTGGACTCTGTTCAAGCTGATGTGGGGAGGGGGCTGTGTTTACAGTTTCACCTGGCTTGATGTTCATAGATGGTATCCATGGTGATGGGAATGGCAGGGTCTACCTGCTGCTGAGCTGCCTCATGCACTTGGTAAGGTGGCAGGAGTATGAGACAGTGACTTGGAAAACTGGTCCAAAAGTGTCTGACATCAGCAGGCATTCAGCTTTGCATCAGCATCCAAGCCCCTGTCCGCTCATGTGCTCTGTGGCACATGGGGGCTACTGGACCTGTGGGGGAGGTGGTGACCTGGCATTTCCCAGAAACGGGTAGCTGGGGTGGTAAGGGCCATGCCATGCTCTGAGACACAGGCAGCACTGGGAAGTTCCTAGTGGACCTGTGTCCTCAACAGCATTCTGGTTGCCAAGTTCAAAGGCAGAGAGGATCTCCAGGGAAAGCCAAGGGTGAGCCATGGAAGCTGCTGGATTTGAGGCGGGAATCAGCCTGGGGAAAAGCTTTGGGATCCCAACAGTCAGTTGGCGAGGGTGGCTTTAGGCAAGATAGCGTAGGAGGGAGACACTTGACTGGGCTGGAGATAGGGAAGAGTCAAGCTCCCAGTGGAGAGGAAGGTGGAACAGAGAAAAAACAAACTGTTGGGGATGTTCGGGCCTCCTGGGTAGAGCCCATAGTGATCTGTCCTTCAGTGATGGAGCCAGGACATCCTCAGGCTGTCCTCCAGGTCCTCTGTGTGTGGGGCATGCTCTCTAAGGCTGTCCTCCAGGTCCTCTGTGTGTGGGTGCTCTCTAAGGCTGTCCTCCAGGTCCTCTGTGTGTGTGGGTGCTCTCTAAGGCTGTCCTCCAGGTCCTCTGTGTGTGGGGGTGCTCTCTAAGGCTGTCCTCCAGGTCCTCTGTGTGTGGGGGTGCTCTCTAAGGCTGTCCTCCAGGTCCTCTGTGTGTGGGGGTGCTCTCTAAGGCTGTCCTCCAGGTCCTCTGTGTGGGGGGGTGCTCTCTAACGCTGTACCCCAGGTCCTCTGTGTGGGGGGCGTGCTCTCTAAGGCTGTCCTCCAGGTCCTCTGTGTGTGTGGGTGCTCTCTAAGGCTGTCCTCCAGGTCCTCTGTGTGTGTGGGTGCTCTCTAAGGCTGTCCTCCAGGTCCTCTGTGTGTGGGGGTGCTCTCTAAGGCTGTCTTCCAGGTCCTCTGTGTGTGGGGGTGCTCTCTAAGGCTGTCCTCCAGGTCCTCTGTGTGTGTGGGTGCTCTCTAAGGCTGTACCCCAGGTCCTCTGTGTGGGGGGCGTGCTCTCTAAGGCTGTACCCCAGGTCCTCTGTGTGTGGGGGTGCTCTCTAAAGAGAATCAGTGAGGGTGGGACTTCTGCTGTTGAAGCTCATTGCTAATGCTCTCATTTAATCCCAGCTTGCAGATTTCAGAGATGCGCTTACCAGGATCTATGGCGTGGTGCCTAAAATCCAGTGCCTTGTGCCAGAACAGGTCAGAAGTGTTCTATCACCCTGTTGTCTCTATGGAAAAGATGGTATTACTCTCCTGATAGTTTGTCTCCACTGGAGTTTCTGGGACAGTTACATTTGGGCATATTTTCCATGTATATATGTATACAGACAAGTGTTTGGGAAAGCACAGAGAGGTTTTGAAGCAACTCATGTGTTTCTCAGATTCCTTCCTTGGGGAGACATAAACATCTGCTTCCCCTCTTAAGGTCTCAACAGCCCCCCAAAGCATGATTCCACCAAAGATCACTTGGGCGAACCCATGAGCTTATTGAGCTTAGTTACAGAGCTGGGTGAGGGGTTACCTGCAGGGTCGTGGGTGCTGCTCTCCTAAAAGCCCACATGTCTCTACCCAGCAGGGGTGAGGGCTTTTCCTCAGCCACATAGATGGAGCCCCTTCTAGTCTTCTCTGGTCTATACATTCAAGCCCTTCCTGGACACCATGTGTAGTTAGTGTAGCATTGCCTGAAGCAGGAAATAGGAAGCAGCTGGATAGGCAGGTGAGGGTCACATGATCCTCCTGCCCCTCTAAGAAAGAATGTAAACATAAACGTTAAGGAGCCCTGATGGCCTGATCTTGTGCAAGAGGCACAGCTGAACTCACCAAGATGGCAGCTGCTTGGTCAAAGACTAGATTTGTATAACACTATAGGCTATGCCGCTTCATTCTAGTGAGAAAACCTTATAAGAGGAAGGGAAAGGGAGAGAGAGGAGGAAGGGGAAGGAAAAGGGGGCGAGGAGATAGAGTTCTAAGTTAAGCATTTGTAAGTTTCTAAGGTTTTTTGTTTTTGTCTGTTCATTTATTTGGTTGGTTTTGTTTTCCAGACAGGGTTTCTCTGTTATATAACTGTGGAGACCGGGCCGTCCTCCACCTTGCAGAAACTGCCTGCCTCTCTGTGTGCCGCCACACCTGGCAGTCTAAGCTCTTACCTTGCCTCTCTGTGTGCCGCCACACCTGGCAGTCTAAGCTCTTACCTTGCCGCCCTCCATCACTTAATTGCAGCCCTGCTGTCTCATTTCCAGATGAAACAGATTATCTTGGCTGCCAGGAACGAGTATCTTGACATTTACTCTGCCAGGGTCCCCATGTGTGCTGTGGGCACATTTGGGTCAGTTTGTGTTTGTTTGTGTTTTGTCTTCCGAGCTGAAAACACCTCCTCACCCCTGGCTTCTAGGCTAGCAGAGGTGAGCCCTCAGTGACTGTGAGGAGCAAACCTCCACCATGTTCTCCTGAACCCTCCTCTGCTTCGAGAGGCCTTGCTCAGAGGCTGGAGTCTCTGATCCGGAGCTGCGGCGAGCCGCGGCTTCTGTTTTCAGGTGCTGAGGCTGTGATCCCCAGATCGATACTAACCCATGGGTCCTGGACTCTGAAATGTCTACCATTTTCTATTTTTAGGGAGAGAGTGTACAAACTGTTGGTCAAATAGAGTTATGCTTCACCAAGGAGGACCTCCATCTGCGAAACTGCACTGAGCCAGATGAGCGGCTGTCCTTCAGGCCGGATGCCCGGCTGGCCACGGGGGCTTCCACACACGGGATGATGGTCTGTGAAGATGGTCCAATCTTCTATCCTCCGCCTGCAAAGACCCAACTTTGATGTTCACATTTTGGAAATATTTTATGTTCCACAAAGTAAGAAAAAGTCACAAATTAATTGCTTTCTAAAAATCCACTGTAAGTTTCTTAAAATGTGTTTGGCTTTTTTCCTTGTGTGTTAATGAGTTGGTCTTTGTCCAGTCTGATTGGTAGGGGCTCCTGTGTTCTTCCTGGCAGCTGCGAGCAAAGCACCTGGGGTCAGGCCTTACTTCCTGTCCCGAAGCAGCTGGATTCACACTGCCAATAAGAACTTGGAAGTCTCGACACAGAATTTTTTTATTTTGGTCAAATTTAAATTATCCCGTTTCTTTTTTTTAAATTTAAAAATTTTATTATTATTATTATTGTGTGTGTGTGTGTGATGCATGACAGGTACGGGTGTGTACACATACCACGGAACCTACGGAGGTCAGAGGACACACTTGGGGATCATTTTCTCCAGCATAGGTTCTGGGGATCCCACCCAGGTCGTCCTGCTGCAGTGAGCTAGCTCTCCCCGGTGAGAGTTCACTCTGCCCTCTCAGGGAATACAGACAGAGGACGACTCCTTAGCATGGTGTGCGTCTGGCCTGGAAGCCTGGTGTGTGCCCAGAGTTTGACCATGGGCAGAAATCTTGACAGTTTTTATAGCTGTTGCTACCTGTAAATCTCTTTAGGTCCTTGCCCTGAGTTAACGTGGAGCAATTAAACATGTTTTATAGAGACAGACACTGCAAGCTTTACCATTTTGGTGGGATGGTAGATTTACACAGCAAGGACCCTGCCACAGTTAGTTTGAAGTAGATTAATGTTCTTTTCAATTAGTGTTGCCCAGGGTCATCGCCTATCTGGCAGAATTGTATTCTTCTTGGTAAGAGGGCCAGGACTTTATGGGCAGCTGTTTTCCAATGCCACCCCCTGTGAACTAAATGGTAAAAGTGATAGTGAATAGGGCCCGATGACCTACTGTGTGCTAGGGTTGTCCTTTTGTTACGGGAACAGGAACCAATGGGGGTGACAGTCTGCACACATCTTGGCAGAAACATATTCTCAGCAAACCTAAACTTCAGTTATGTTGGAGACTCAGTTTTCCACAGTTTCTAGTACGCCACACATCTTTGAGCTGTGTTTGAGGCAGCACTCCTATAGCTACATTCCGCTTTCTGTAATGACGGTACGTCCTTTCTCACACTGGCTGTTGCTGTCTTTACCAATCCGACTGTGCAGCAAGCACTTTCCAGCTGAGAATTGCGCCGGCCCCACCCATCCTGCTTATCTAACAGTTAGACTGTGTGTGCAGGTACAATGTGAAAACGTTTTAAATTGCTTATCCTCAGAACAACATCATCAAAAACTGCTGTGTTGATTGATGTGCGTGGCTCTGTTACCAATTAGAAAAAGGCTTTCAGATTGGTCAGAAGCCAAACCTGACTTGTATCTGTGAGACACACCTGAAATGCTGTGAGTTTAACAGGATTTATCTGGCTTGTGAAGGACCCAGCTCTCCCGAGCACAGGGTGTGTATTTAGACAGTGTGTGTCTAGACATTAGCAAGGGCTTGATCAGAAGCAGTCCTTTAGCCTTTCTGTGTTAGAGGAAGGAGCTGGCCTTGCTTATTTGCTGGGATAGGGTTATGGCCTTGGGTGGGGGGGCCCTGTTACCACAATCCCTCTTCTGTTTGTTCCTTTGCTTCTCCCGAGTGCATATCTGTTTCTAGCACCCCTTCACTTGAGGGTTCAAAGGGTAGGCTACTCTCTGGAACTAGTGGTTGGTGTTGAGCGGTGGGAAGGACCCAGTTGGAAACATGGCTGAGTAAGGGCTTGCCTTCTCTCTGGACTTACTGGCTCCTTCTTCAGTGTCCTTTTGTGGGGGATTGTGTACCTTGGCTTGTTCAGAAGACGGTTTCAGTAGGAGGCTGATTGTCTCTCCTCTTCACACCTGTTTATTTTCATGTTCTTGTTCAGAAGATGGTTTCAGAAGGAGGCTGATTGTCTCTCCTCTTCACACCTGTTTATTTTCATGTTCTTGTTCAGAAGATGGTTTCAGAAGGAGGCTGATTGTCTCTCCTCTTCACACCTGTTTATTTTCATGTTCTTGTTCAGAAGATGGTTTCAGAAGGAGGCTGATTGTCTCTCCTCTTCACACCTGTTTATTTTCATGTTCTTGTTCAGAAGATGGTTTCAGTAGGAGGCTGATTGTCTCTCCTCTTCACACCTGTTTATTTTCCTGTTCTTGTTTAGAAGATGGTTTCAGTAGGAGGCTGATTGTCTCTCCTCTTCACACCTGTTTATTTTCCTGTTCTTGTTTAGAAGATGGTTTCAGTAGGAGGCTGATTGTCTCTCTTCTTCACACCTGTTTATTTTCATGTTCTTGTTTAGAAGATGGTTTCAGTAGGAGGCTGATTGTCTCTCCTCTTCACACCTGTTTATTTTCATGTTCTTGGAGAAACGATGGAGGCGGGGCTTGCAGTAGTCCTCAGACTTTACCTTAGTCTTCCTTTGTTCTAAAACAAACCGTCATTCTTTCAAATGGGGTGCATTTGTGATTCTGGTCTGAGCATTTCTTAGAGCAGCCTGAATTAAAACAGGCTGGCACGATGGCAAGGTGTGGGCTGTGGACTGAGATGGGTGGTGTGAGATGAGTGTGCCAGAGCCCTGTGGTCCTCCTGAGGCTGAGCATGTGAGATCCTCCTGACCACATGGCCGTCCAATCACGTATCCCTTGAGCAGTGCTCTGATTTTCTCTTCCTGTTTGTGTTCTGGCCTCCCGCATGGCAGCAGGTAGAAACTAAGTTTTCAGTAGCCTTGGCCAAGTCAGGTAAGTGTATGAGCTTTGATGAGCCAGGGGAGACATGGGGAGTCCAGTTCCAAATACTGGTTTCAAAGTCAGCCAACATGAGCTTTTTTAGGTTTATCTCACGAAAGCAGCTGTGACCACCTTGGTCTCCCTATAAAATTGACTGGAATTGGGGGAGGCCACTTGTTTGTTGGCTGCACAGACTCCAGAAATAATCACACAGAAATCTGTATTACTTACAATACTGTTTGGCCACTAGCTTAAGTGTATTTCTGACTAACTCTTATATCTTAAATTAGCCCATTTCTACTAATCTGTGTATTGCCACGTGGCTGTGGCTTACTGGCAGCAGCTACATGGCTTCTTCTAACTCTGCCTTCTTTTTCCCAGCATTCAGTTTAGTTTTCCCGCCTATCTCTATTCTGCCAAGCCACTGGCTGAAACAGCTTTATTCATTAACCAATAAAAGCAACACATATGCAGAAGGACTTCCCACACCAAGGAGTGTTTCAGACAGGCCAGCAGGGGGTGGAACCCACATTAGGGGTGAGTTGCACATTTAGTGTCTGAGCTTGGGACCAGTCTATCCTGTGGGGTGTGGAAGGGGGGCAGCCTTTTAGGGGGGGCCATTTGCTCAGTAAAGGATGGTCCTTTTGCCTGGAGTAGTGGGGAAAGGAAAACCCTGAGGCTGGACCTGGAAGGATGGCCGAAGCTAAAGGTAAGAAAGTAGAAAGACACTAAAGGGAACATAGACAAGGAGACAGTCTCCAAGACTGGCTTCTACCCACAATTATGCTGCCGTCACCTCTTGCCTTGGTGTGTGTGGATCCGACCCAGGATGCCTTGCCCAGCTCTGGAGCAGTGCCTCCCATTCCGGTAGCTATGTGGTATGGAGGAGTGGTCATCACTAGCCCTTCCACCCCTCTCAGAGCTAGCATTTGATGGCTTCCCACACCCCGCAGCTGACATCACACTGCTCTTTCTGAACGGCCTTCAGTTTTACCCTAACCCTGAAGAGCATCGCATTGTATTTGCTTCTCATCACCGACCTGATTTAGAACCCCAGTCTCTTCCCTGGGCCATCTGTGCATGCCACTCTGGACTCTGTCCACTAGAGGATGGGTCTTCAGCCTGCAGTTCACTGCTCTCCAGTGGCCCACTGACACTCACCTGGGTCTCTTCACCGATCACCCGGGACACGCTTGCTCCAGTAAATGGGAAATTCCTACTCTAGCTTTAACACCCTGTTAACGCGTTAACCGCGTGAGACTTGGCATGAAGTCCAGAAGATGGGAAGACATTTCCCCTTGGAGTACATGAATGAGTATTCATTTGAGAAGATTCCTTTCAGCCTCTGCATTTGCTCTGAAGTTATGTAAATTCCCTTCCCTCATCGTGCTCCATATTCATTTCCTACAGTCAGTGGGCTCGGGTGTCCTATTTCGCTCTGTGAGTTAAGAGCCATCATCTTCATGATTGTTCCAGCGGGAGTCCCCAGCTGGTGCCTGTGCCTGCTTCTCAAGTGTTCCCAGATCCCGCCTCTTTCCAGGGAGACCAGCACTGTTCTTTACACACGTTTACGTCTGCATCGACTGCATCGGCAGCAAGTCACAGTGCATGCCAGTTCCTGTTCTGATCTGCCACCACAAGGATTGCTACAGCCGCTCCCTTTCCGTGCCGGCACCTGGCTTCTGTTCCCTCCGGTGTCTTTGCTTACTCAATGGATCCACTGCAAGGAGAGGAGCTCCTGCTTGCATCCTTTGCCACACCATGGAGGTGAGGATGCTCTCACTCTCTACACTGAGCTGCTTTCTTCCTTCACCATCCTGGTCCTTAATCCACTGGGCTCTGATGCCCAGAAAAAGGAGGAAAAGGAAGGAAGAGAAATTTTACCAACTTCCAAAGCTTCGTTTTCACAACCTGCAAAGTTCATGTGCATCCCCCTATACTAGGATTCCTGCAGATGCAGAAGGCAAGCAGAAGGAGCGGAGGGCACTGTGCATGCTCTGAGATTCAAGCTCCTGTGAACGCTAGTCCTGACACCCTGCTGTGAAGTTCTGCAGAGGGCTAAGTGCAGGAAGGTTGCATTTCTTTACCTCCCACCCCCGCCCCAGTAGATGGATTCTGGGTGGAGTTCATACCTAGGAGCCCCAGAAGCTGAGAACTGAGGCTGTTGCCTGTTTTGCAGAGCATTGCAGGGGCATTGCCTGTTTCTTTACCCTGTATTTTTTTTTTTTTTGCCAAACTTCAATACCATTTTTTACATAATTTTTCCTACCTTCCAATGTACTGTTCTTAATGTTTCTTGCCCTCTTGTACTGTCTAGACCTCCCTGACCCCGTGGAAAGATAGAGGCAGCTCTCCAGGCAGCAGAGCACAGCAGAGCTTCAGCACAATGGGGAGGGTTCAAGGGAAGGTTGAGCAAGCAGGCAGTGTTCCCTTTTCCAGAGCTGGCAGGAGAGAAATGTCCTTGAGCTGATGGGGAGATGCTGCTTGGTGACGTCTGTATTTGGAGTCTCTGAG